CGCAAATCATTTAAAATTAACTTTAAAGCCCAAAACAGTCACTCTACACTGAAATTTGGTATGTGCCATAGCGTTAGTACGTGCTATCGCTGTTCTACAACATTAATTGTTGGGAAGTAACGAGGCTACACATTACAAGGTTGAAAATAAACTTTAACAGGAAAGTGGATTCAAATTGCAAGCACAGTCCTTTTAGTAAAGAGAGCAAATTTTCGGAAATATGTTTTTGCTTCATCAGCCTGAATAGATTATACAAGATACAGCAAATAACAGGTTCTATCTTGTATAATGTTTCCAGCCTGATGAAGGAAAAACATATTTCTAAAAATTTGCTTTCTTTACTAAAAGGACTGTGCTTGCAATTTGAATCTGCTTTCCTGTTAAAAGAAGAACAGGAGTACTTGTGGCACCTTAGAGACTAACAAATTTATTAGAGCATAAGCTTTCGTGGACTACAGCCCACTTCTTCGGATGCATATAGAGTGGAATAAATATTGAGGAGATATATATACACACATACAGAGAGCATAAACAGGTGGGAGTTGTCTTACCAACTCTGAGAGGCCAATTAATTAAGAGAAAAAAAACTTTTGAAGTGATAAAGTTTATTTCCAACGTTCTATCATACAAAATCATTCAAATAAAATAATTTAAACTACAGACGTCGAAAATGGGGGGGGGGGACTGGGCCAATTTTATTTAATATTTTTTAAATCTTCGACTATTTTGCAGATACGACCCTGGAATATGATTTAATGCTAAAACATGCATTAAAATGGTACTCTTAATTTATTTTGTATAATTAACTGTTTCCGAGAAAATTGTTTAAAAATTTTAATCTGCTTACATGCTTAGAATGATACAAACAATTTTACTTATTACTTATTTTTCAACTTTGGAACTATACATTTTAAACGTAATAATAAATAATAACCAAAAATGATTAACTTATTATGGAACATAATATTACCGCTTGTAGCCGGGGCAGTCGACGCCTATGGTTTAAATAATTTTGGATAATGTAATATGGTAGCACATACTAACGCTAAGACACAGACATAATTTCATTACTTTATATTAAAGCGTTTAAAATTACAAACAACGCTACCAAAAGACCGTTGAACAGATGACATATAAAATAAGTCCACCAGAGTGATACGGGAGCATGTACAAATGAACAAATGTACCGGTAATGGGAGCCCGTGTGAGAAATGAACTTAAGTGGTTAATATTTCTTGCGATATCTTAATATATCAATAAACAAAAACATTTTTTTTTGCAATATACCTGTTTGTGATATCTTAAATGTTGCGTCTTGTGTCACACTTTTCCGTAATCGAAGCACTCAGCGCGTCTCGTTGATCAACCCTTACAAAAGAAGTATCAACACATATTAACTATCTAACTAATCTATGTGAGTACGTACTCGCCTAACCTTGGCACAAGGGTGGGAGCAGTCTGCAGTGTTGCCGGATGTCTGATAATTATCTGATTCTTTAATAAAACATATCTCCAAAAAACTTTGTAATTTTGTATCTGTATATTAAATCTTGATTTTGGCCAAAGTGAGAATAACTGACATATTACGTAAAGTGATAAAGTAGATGTTAATATCAATCTGAAACTTTTTGGCACCCTTAGGACTTTCTTACTAAATATCATTCATTTTGGATTGAAAATGAATAAAAAAAAAAAAAACTAGGAGCAGTGGAGCAGTCAAGATTTTCTGTGCTCTGGCTCCGCTCCAGACAAAAACCTGCAGCTCCACACTCCAGCTCTGGGCTCCGCTCCAAAGGCCTGATAAAAGTAGAACAGGTTTAGAATACTTTCTGAAATGTGGCATGCTGGCTGACACCCCAAACTTTTATAGCCAGAAAAGTATTTTTTTAAAAGCTATAAAGATGCCTGAAAATGTCTAAGGATTAGTTTCTTCCATCTATAACTCTAATAACTGATACAAAGCTATGACATTAAATGTACATATAGCATTTTATATTTTTACACCAAAAACGTCATCAAGATGCATGAGTATATTTTCTTACAACACAAATGAAAACCCAGGATCTGACTAAGTCAGGGCATGGTGGTGGTGGCAACAGAAGTTGGTGGGGAGTATTACTCCCCACCAAAGCATACCAATTTCCCTAGGCTACAGAGATCTAAAAAACAATTGACAATGCTTTAGCATGTTGGTATACATGTATTGTTTCTTTAAATCTGTAATAGGAAGCCAGCTGCAGGGAACTGGGGGAAGTTCCAGGCGAACATCTACAGTGAAGCAGAAAAAGACAGTAGCTATGGGAATAATATTGTTTTGTTTTGTTCTTTTTTCAATGTGAAAAGAAATTCATTCTTTCTGTGATTCTCTAGCTCTGTCATATGACATGGTGTCATTGACTATCCAATCAAAGCCTACCTTTATGGACTATGTAAAGGTGTTTCTCGTTAGTGAGGTGTATTTTCTTGCCTTGTATCAATTTTCAGCTCCCAGCTATTTCAGTGCTAAAGCTAGCTTAAAAACCCTCTCAATGCATTTTTAAATATTGGGATGTAAAAGATCGGCAGTGTTTGCCTGAGAACCCTGTCTTTTAACAGGAGTTGATCCTAGTGAAAGATTTTAAGTATTGACTCAGTGTTGCAAGTATCTGGCTAATAATAATACTGTTCTCTTCCATCACCATATATATTTTTACAAGTGTCCTCACCCTTCCAATATTGCACCAACTAGACTGCCTTATTGCCCACTTCCTTTTTGTGGTCATATGAATCCAAAGTCCCTCTTACTCTTTCCTCCCTTTCTGGACCCCCTAGGTATCACTTATTGGCTGGTGTGCATTTTTGGCACCATTCAGACATTTTGAAAGATGCTATCTTTTTCTTCTATTTAATTAAACCTTACAAGAATCATTACAAATATATTTTATGCATTTTCCTCTTCAGAGGGAAATAGTCTAATGCATTTAGCAGACATTCTAAACAAAATTTAATTGTGCAAAGCTGCTAGTATGCTTCTAAATACGTTAAATAAATGCAACAAGGCAGAACGCTGGAATTAAATAAAGGCAATAAGACACAAAGTATTAGAATAAGAAAATAACTTCTATATTTCGCTTACATATGTCTGGGAGGGGGTTACTGTTCCACATACTTTGAGAAATATTTTTATCAAAATTTGTCCCACTGTACTGCTTATATACATGTGCTGTCATAAAATGTCCGTGACCTATGCTGCTCTCTGGTGTCAGGACCTAAATAGCTGCCCTTTCTGATAACTGAAATGATGATAAACTCAGTACAGTGTACTTGGGGTTGTGCTTTTTCAAGTTAAATCACTATAAGACTTTAAGCAAAATTCCCCTGATTTTTTTTATTGCATCTTTAAAAGTGATAAACAATTAGGGCCTGAGTTTCAGAAGTGCTAAGCGTCAGCATCTCCAGTTGATGTCAATAGAAGTTACGGCTGCTCAGTGTCAGTGAAAACCAGACCCTTATTCACAAACCCAAAAGCATATAATCTTTGCAGAGACCACAACTTGCATGAATGCCTAATACAACATGTGAATGTCCAAATAACCACTGTACTGCAAGTCAGAAAATGAACTGGTTGCACTTAGAACAGGTTGTACAATTTGACTGTGATATTGAAAGTGCATTTTTCTGAGCTAAATACATTTTTGTTCAGGGGAACTTACAATGAACTGCAAATGTAGCAAAATCCATATACTTCATATAGAAGCCTCATTCAAAGTGCCATGTTCAGGAAAAAAATTAAAAATCTATTTTCCATTTTTTTCTAGGCAAGAAAAGGCTGAGTCAAATAATTTACCTGTCTACCTGCTGTGTCAAGCACTGAAGGATCCAAACTGTAAGTTAAAGAAACTGAAGTAAGAAACTTTCTCCTTTCCCTGTTTTAAAATCTTCTTTTTACTTATATTTTCCCAGAAATTAAGTAACCGTGTAGATGCTAATTAGTCAGTGAGTTGGGGCTACCAGGGAAGGTCACTTGTTAGAACAGCCATAACATATGATCTCTCTGTGCTCCATTCTTCTGCAGGTTAGAGAAGTGCAATCTCACAGTTGCTTGTTATAGGGTTCTGTCTTCTGCTCTCAGCATTAATCAGACCCTGAGAGAGCTGGACCTGAGCTATAATGACCAGGGAAAACAAGGAGTGCTGGACCTATGTAAGGGACTAAAACATCCAAACTGCAAACACTCAGGTAAGTAGCCACAAGTATGTACATAGCCCACCAGGGTGTGTGGCTAGCTGACTTTAGGTGTATGAGAAGACTGAAAACCAAGTGTGTCTCTAGCACTTAAAATGTCAATAGTTCATATTGTGTGTGTATCCTGGAAGGTTTATAACATTTTAGATAAGAGTGGGTTAAACAAGAGCACTGTATCAGAACCCCTCTGAACTCAGGGGAAAACACTTACAACTTTTTAAATAAAGAAAATCACACAATGCATTTTCCAAGAAAAATTGGAACATCATGTTACTCTTTTCGATAATAGCCTACTTTAAGTACTTGTTATTTCAAAAGTTATTTTACATTAATTTTCATTTAAAACAAATAAAGTACTGTTGACGTCACTAGG